ATTTCTCACTTTTGCAACGATGCCAGTGTTTCCAGTTTCTTAAACTGCGTTTCAATAAACGCAGTTTGGGAAACCTACCGTTAAACGCGTTTAAATAAACTTAGTTTCGTCAAACTGCGTTTCGCTTGTTCCTGATGAAAATGGGCCTCAGACTGAAATTCATCGATATAATTCGGTTGAGCTTAACCATTTATGCTTAGATCAGCGACTCAAAATTACCTGTCGAATTGTCTGAATATAAACATAGATTACGGCTTTTCTCCTGTTTTTTATATTAAATTTATGTGGTATTTCCAATAATTACCTTTTGCTGTTGCATTGTCGGGCGTGCGAACTGCATCAAAGCTCACAATATTCCTTTTGATGTTCAGAAGTGTGTTCAACGGCAATGCAGTCAAGGCGTTTACGTCCACTAAATCGATCGGATGCTCTTCAGTGGTGATTTCCTTGATTAAGATTAATATCCAGATGGCACCTGCTTGCAACATGCTGAACGACAGAGAAAAACGGTACAAGTATGGCACGTTTCGGTTAAGTTTAAGGTAAATCTAAAGTGGCTGATTATCTGATAAATTAATCCGCACCAACGAAATTTTTTGAATTTCTTGGCTTGCTCAACTCGTTCAAAGTTTGTTGGGAAAAGCATAAAAATATGGGGGTGTTTCAAAAAGTCGCTAAATTGAGACCGGAGAGAGTTTAGAGTTTAAATTCGTGGACGCCCTGTATAACATGGCAAGTTTATTATCATTGGGATATAAATTATTATATCTTGTTACACTTCACTGTAACTTACGCTTACATAACTTAAATATGCACTTCTAAAGTATTTGACACGTGAAAATTAGATTGGATTTTGACTAAATTCGTATTATTTAAAAAACCTTAAGATTTAGGTATTAGAAACCTTATTAAAAGAGACACTTATTTTGTTCAGCGAATCCAAAAATGCAATAATATACAGGACATTCCATTTAAAAAAAACCCAACTTTGATACTTTTAGGGCTTTTGGCACACTCTCTACATTACAAAAATATTTTTAAAATCTGCACCCGATAGGCGTATGTGCCATTCAGCAACTCCAAACAAGTGCCTGCATAATCACCTTACTATGCAGTCTTCTCGATCAGCTTTTCGTGTTCGGTTAATCAATGATAATCCTGCTCAATGTATACCGGTGTTCAGTAATCCAGTGGTTTAATGTGATCTTACATACGTGGTAGGAATGTAGCCGGTATTTATTTGCTACCTGGAAAAGTGTCAGTTTTTTTCCATTTTCCAGTAGATTTCTTATATTGTATTTGCCCATGAGGGTCTTCCGCGCAAACAGAATTAAGATTTGTCGGTCTGTTCAAACACCGGATTATCTGGTTCTTTTTACAATGGTGCAGATGACCAAAACCACGCGAAAAGGCAGCTAATTGCAAGCCATTAATAGAGTTAATTGGCGTCTTGCTTGTGTGCTGGCCTCATTCTCACTCAACCAAGGGGCCTGAGCCCAACCAAGGAGGAGGTTCAATCGAACCTCCTCCTACGTTCGGCCATAAACCATAAAATGTTCAAAGCGCTGGTTCTTACTTTGTTAGTGCTTAGTTGCAAGCCGCGTCACTCAAGTGCCGCAAAGTCCCAATTAATCGACATTTTAAAGAGTTTAAAGCTGACTGAAAAACTGTTTCGGACAGATCAAGCCAAACAAGTCGCATCCTTAGTGAGCAACGCTTTTACGGACTATGCAAACTCCAGGAAAAAATCAACAAATCCAACCAGTCAAGTTTTCACGGGGTTCCTGAAGGTTGTGGGGTTTGAGGCCGAGAAAATCGCCGCCATAGCAATTAACGGGTTAATATTTGTGGCTCAATTGGTAAGTTGGAGCTTCGCTTTGTCCCTGCCGGAAACCACCTGGCGGGTTCCATGATTTCAGTTAGGGACCTCCCTGATGTCGAAGTCCAGCAGGCGGACGGAAAACATCGGCTCGGAAAATCCCCTTGATTGGGTGCTCGAAAATGCCGACATCGCCATCCTCATGACGAACATTACCAGTCGCAACTTGCCCGAGTTTGTCATCGAGTACGTAAAACAGCAATCTCTGGACGAGGAAAGCGGTTGCGTGCAGCTGTTGATATGCAAGATCTCCCCATTTATTTGGGGAATGCAGGAAGCGTTCGATTTGACAAAGAGCAGCCTGCGGCTTGGCCAGACCGCCTTCTTTCGATACCTTCCTGCTAGAGCAGAAGTGCTAAAGCAAAGTGAGGTTTGCGACAGTGAATATCCGTATTGTTACAACTAGCTCTTCATCAGAGGATTATTACTTAAGTATAAAGAAAAAATATATTCCTTATACTCTCAGCCAGGTTTTTTACTTCTGTCTGCTGCAGTTTTTATACATTATTATATAAATATACAGGGCGATTAAAAATTGGCGCATTCCTCTGGAGGGGTTGTTTGGCGGTGTTTCAGGAGTACAGAAAAAAAGTAAAAATAAATAACTGTTTTTTACAAACTTCTTTTTGGGTATTAGTAATTAGTGCGCTTTATTTAATTTTACGATTTTTTGTGGATTGTTCTTTTGTTAAAATTGTGGAATTATTCCATTGAATTTTATGGCAATTATCAAATGCATGTTGACAAATGTGTGATTTATGATATTCTCTGTTTTTATGTATGATTGGTGTTCTTTGAGTCTTTTGTGTAAAGGTCTTGAGGTTTCCCGTATATAAAATTTATTGCATTCGCAAGGAATTTTATAAATTACATTTTTGTATTTTCAATTATATCATGAGGTTTTGTTACTGAAATTTTACTTCTAATTGTATTTTCAGTTTTGAAGATAGTCCTAATATTAAATTTTTTACCTACTCGTTTAATTTGATCTGAAAGTCCCGGAATAAATGGAATGAAAAGTTTCGTAAAAGATTTATTTTGATTTTGTTTTGTTCGTGGGAATTCAATTTCGTTAAAACATTTTTCAATACAAGAATTTGGATAATTATTGAAATTTAGAATTTCTTTTA